TCTGTTTTACAGCTCATTACATTAATGTAGTTATAAATTATCTTGCAAATGAAAGTTTAGTAGGCCTTCTAAAAACCACACGAGATTTTTTGCAAAACATTTCTTCTAAAAGCATTTTCCTTCTTTAAAAACAGTTTAAAACTTATCCTGATGGTAAGAAGAATAATCACTAAAGTTTTATGGAGGAAAATTAGTTGGAAACTCTTAAAATGATAGATATCTCTCTTTACCACCTGTAAGCAAAAATAAACCTTTAAAATTGGAATTCATAAAAACTAAGTTGGTGTAAAATGTCCTTATAAGTAACATAAATTCCCAAAGTATTATAATAAACTAAATTCCTAGTTATTACAGAATTCCTAGATATCGCAAAGTTCCTTAGTCAAAAAGGTGTTTGTAATGGAGAGGAGATTCAGTGTTTATAAGCCAAGAAAAATATACCCAATTAAATTAGCCTTTTCACAATGACAAATATTATCAAGGCTTTAAAAAATTTACTCAGTATCTTTTTTCCTTTGTCTTTAAATATATCACTGGAAAATAATTACATTCTGGAATCTCACATGGATAGTGAATGTGGTACTCCATAAATCTCCAAATTAACATATATGTCCTTAGATGAAGAAGACTTGAAAATCACACCTCTATATTTTTCTTTCAAGAATTCTCATTTACTCAGTAGAAAATACACAAAAAAGGAAACTTTTGCACAGAGTTGATAAAAATTTTAGGTGAAACTTTCTTAAATGTAGATAAAACTTGGAAGTTTATTCTAACCCATTCATTCTCACCTTTTTTTTTGGGGGGGAGTACAATTCTTAATCTAACACCTCTAGATTGTGAGAGGAATTGCTTTTTTTTTTTTTAACAACATAGCTGATACAATTTGTTTACCAGGTTACACCATGTAAGAAAACTCAGAAATATAACCATACCACGAGCAATTATCATGTATTTAAAACTTGAAACAGAACCAATTAATTACCATCAGGTGACCTGAATTTAGTTGGATGAGCAAATCAAATTTGGATTCATGATTGCTAATGATAACATTTTAAATTCTAAGGCCCAATACTCTTAGCACTTTAAAAGAAAAGATTATTATCCTTAAATTCACATGTTTTTCCCTAATTGATATTTGGGAGGACCAGACTTATTCTCAAAAGTTTCTACTCTGATTCCAATTCCTTTCAGGAAGATTAGATGCTATTGAGGATCTAACCCTATATGTGTAAATATAAGTAACGACAATTTTTCAGGTAGAAGCTTTTCCACCCTTGAGTTCAATAGTTAAACAAGTGAATTTGCTTATAAAAGACTGACTTTACTCTGATTGTCATAAAAGACCTGGGAGGCTAACTAATTGATTCCAAAATAATGCATATCAATAAGCTGTTCACAATAAAACATGTTTGTACCACAAGACATACAATATAAACAGGTATTATTTCCACAATAGTGATAAACTTTGAAACAACTCATTATCAATTTAGGTGAATGCATGCCAAATCACTTTGCCCAGAGTCATTCATCTTATCATCAATATGTTGAAACGATAACTTTAAACCACCAAATATTTTTTATAATAGTCAAGATTTCAAAGGAAAAATCTGCCATCATAGTAAATATCAGTATTATTATTACCTGCTTATAATCAAATATTAACAGTTTTCAAGTTATCTCTTTTTTTATTACTTTTTTTTTTTTTAGGCAATTGGGTTTAAGTGGCTTGTCCACGGTCACACAGCTAGTAGGTGTTTGCTCTGAGGTCTGATTTGAACTCTGGTCCTCCTGACTCCAGGGCTGGTGTTCTATGCACTGCGCCACCTAGCTGCCCTAATCAAACCTTTTAGAAGACCAGTTCATATGCACCATTTCTACCTCACAACGGTCTCTCAAATTTTACAATCTAAGAGAGTTTTAGAAATACAATACAATTTAGAAATATAGTAATAAAACAAACAATAACATTCAGATGACATAGATCGCATTTCCAGATTGTCACATTGATCTTATTACTCTTGGGATTTAAAAAAACATGCTTCACAGTTATCAGGCATGGAACAATTACATTAAATTAGAGAGACAGTAATAATACTGTCTAAGATATGTCAGTCGTGTGAAGCACTTTACAATCATTATGTCATTTTGATCCCATAACAACAGCCATTATTATTTTTCCTTTTACAAATCAGGAAATGGGGTGAACAGAAATAAAATAGCTTGCCATAAATGACAAGGTTGACACATTTCTGCAACCAGAGCAGAGAAGTGGGGCTTACCAAGAGCAGAGGCTGGCTGACCTCTCATCTCGTAGTGGTGAGCCGGGCCTTCCAGGGGTTTGGGTGGCTGATGCCAGGGCCTTCCCAGTGGTGATAATTCCTGGTGGCAGGGCTTAAGGAATCTCATCATAGGTCTGACTTGTTTACCTCTCCCCTCCCCACAGCTGCAGAATTTACTGAGGCTGGTGCCATCTGCAGCTGCTGGGGCAGGGTGGGCAGAATGTATGGAACCTGGATGATACTCCCAGGCCTTGCCCAGGGGGGTGGGCTGTGAGGTGCCCAGGGGCACAGGGCCATTAGAGCCCCTGCTAGTCTGTGATAGCTGCCCCTTCTCTCCTTTTGACAGATGGGGAGGGATGATTTAAGTTTTCCCTACAATTCTCCAGCATTCTCTTGTCCTTTACAATCCTCTTATTGAGATACTTATCTCTGGGGAGGGCGTGGGGAGTGAAGAATCAGGATCGGGAGGATGTGTTTTAGCAGAGGGTGAGCTCCTGGAATTACCCCCAGTCTCAGGAGTTTTCTCCAGCAATCTCAAAATGATCAATTTCCCAATTTCTTAATGATTAATCTCAAAATCTCCAGAATCTGCTAAGATGTCTTTAGCTGTATCTAACTTTTCTGTGTCACACCAGACTGGCCAGGTCTGGACCCACAAAGAAAAGAGTCGTACAGGTTTGTTTGTCTGTTTTCTTGGCGTCAGCCCTTAGAAGTCTCTGGCTGCCCGCATTTTATATCTTACAAGGTAATAGACTCACTCACAGCACACATGATACAGACGCAGAGACACACACTGACAGACAAATTGACAATACCAATACAAACACAGCACACAATTAATGACAGGGAGAGGAGCAATTAGAGGCTTGTTAGAAACCCCTAATATAAATAGGCTATTATTATTATTCAAAGGAAGTGGAGCTGGGGAATTTGCAAGGATCCAAGACCTGATAGCGTAACTGGATCTTGTGAGCCTTCCTCAGAGTGCCCCTGAGATTGCAGATTTAAAGGGGCAAGTTAAGTTGGGGGATCTGAGTCCCTGTCAGGACCATAACCTTAAGGGAAGAGGCTTCTGCCTTTCATTCTTGCTCAGCCATCTCAGCAACCCAAAGATGAAAACATTCTCACTCCTGGATAGATGTTTTGTTAGCCCTTAAACTTAATTTGGTTTTAAGAGAAAGTAACTTTGACCAGTCAAAAGAACCCCATTGTGGCCAATATAATTTGGGACCATCGTTAGTTAACTGACATCAGCGCTGGCAGTATTTGTGGTCGTCAGATTGGTAATGGCTTGACACATAAGAGGCAGTGGTCTTGTTAGCCAGATCTCTAATTTTATTTTCTGATTGACCCATAGCCAATTTCTCTAGATCGATCCTTACCTGAGGGGATCTAATTGATACAGCAATTGAACCTCGACTTGATCCCTGACCCCAGAGCTAGTTTAAGGGAATTTTTCTTTTGGACTTCAACCAAACTAGTGGGAGGCCCATGGAAGCTGGGAATAGGAGAATTTACCAGACCCAGTCAAGGTTAGAACTCCAGGAAAAAAAAATGGATCCCGAGGCGCAAGAGCCACTAGCGTTGCCGGGGTGGGGTGTTATTTTCATCTACTCCTTCAGTTCCATCCGAAGTCACGGGACCATTACTGTCGACCTGAAAGTTGGTTAAAGAGGCAACAAGCTAGGTGATAAGTAAATTCATATTGTTTATTCCTTTAAGTTAGCAGCATGTCACGTGTTACATGGAGGCAGAGCTTTGACTCTGACTGACTCAAACAATTTTAGAAGGACATTTAAGCCTTGATTCAGGGTGTCTGTGTTACTTAGATTTATGGTCTCCGTATATGTTTAACCACAGCACGAGAAAGGAATTTTCCTGGTTGAATAGGTTGTAAATACAATAAGACAGGAGAATGTCAAAGTGTCAGTTGAAATTATAGATCCAGGATATCTGTGTTAAACATAACATATGTCCATAAAATATCAAGATAAGAAAAGTCCCAATATTCAAGGTAGTGTCCGGATTAAGGTGCTTATACTTAGTAGCCATGACAGAGGAATTTGCCTGTTCAGCCTCAGTTGCTGACACAGACAGGGCACTTTGAATTCATTCAGAGAACAAAGAAAAATCACGTCTATTATGTTGACGTGCTTCTTCTAACTGATTAGTTCAGGCTTTGGCCCTTATTGGGGCTCAAATGGTCTTAAATGATCATCACACTCAATCAACTCCATCAGCCTTAAGATGCGACCTGACCAGAGCAGAATGCTGAGGGACTTTGTAGCCTCACTTTAGGTTCTATGATTCTCAGTGCAGCCCAAGGTGGAATTAGAAAATTTTTTTAAAACATCAAATCACTCATGTTGACTTATGATGAACTTGTGATCCAATAAAGTTCTCAGTCTTTTCCACAAGCGCTCTTGTCTAGCTACCTAGCCACACTCCTCCACTCCATATTTCTCTTTTTTTGTACCTTAAGTATACAACTTTACATTTATTCCTAAAAGTTTTCCAGCTTTTTTCATTTGACCCAATAGTCTACTCTTTTGAGTTTTCTTTTTAAAATGTATTTTGTTAAAATCCAAAACTGTCAATACATTTTGTTTTAATAAAATGGACACCTCCCTACACAGCCTCCCTGTTCCACCCAAATACACACCCTGAAAAAGTTTATCAGTTGTAAACAGAAAGAAGGGATGGATCAAGAGCTCTGGTCCTGGAGGGGAGAGGCTCTATTTTCTCAAACACAGTGCTACAGAGTTTCACAATACCCTGTTGGCAAGGCTCATCTCAAGGAACCTCACAGACAAAGATCTCCCAAGACAATTTTACCATACTTTTCTCCTGACAGTAAGTCATATTCTTCTTATTATTATCAAGTAAAAAAAAAACCAGAATATGCTGTAATAATCATATAACAGATATATTTATAATGTAACTATTCAGATTGAAAGAGGAAGAAACTTGCTTTAATAGCTTATTTTAGCCCCCTTGTATTTAAAATATCACCAATAAAGTGATAATTGAGTTAAACATCTTTCAACCTTACTATTTCATGGAAAGCCATTTACCTTATTACCCTGGCATTTTCATGCTAATCATAGGAGTTTATGGAGTGTCTACCATGTACCAGGCCTTTTCTATATCTTGAAAGTTGCATAACTCTGTTTTTAGTAATATTTTAAAATGTCTAGTCTATATTAATTTTTTTGGTTAACATTCCATGCCAATTAGAAAAAGTACCTGTAAATGGCATAGCATTTTGTTCAATTGTATTCCCACAAAGTCTAAATATATCAGTGCTCATCCTTTACACAAGCCGGGGAGTATGTTAAGCACTTCACAATTATGTGTTTCTCCCAGCCACTCTGGGTGTAAATATTTGTTATCCTCTTATACATATCAAGACAGATTAAATTCTTCCAATTTAGTACAACAGCGTTTTCAACTCAACCAATTATTGGTTTATAATTACTAGTGACACTACTTAAATCTCAATTTTTTGTAGCCCATGTTCAAAGATTCATGGTGACACCTGTGACTCCCCATTACTGCTTTTTTATTTCTTTGAATTGCCAAAAGAGGCAAATCAATTCCCTTAAATTTTTCTAAATGACTAATCCTTTAGCTTATCTATTGAAACCAGGGCAAAGAGGCAATCCTTTCTCTATCAATCAAATAATTCACGTGAATTTTGTGAAACTTATTTTGTAGTCTTATATTGATTGGGGAAAGGAGACACGTAGCAACTATAACAGGGCATTGCTTTAAAAATTCCTAAATTTTATCTGTTTCAGTGGGACCAAAAAGTCTTTCTCTGATTCATACAGATTTAGTTTTTACTCCACTGAATTTTGCTTTACACTTTAGCACAGTTTTATTATACAAAACCACCTGCACCTGCACCTAGCCCCACCCTAGGCCACCACTCATATACACACACACACGTATGTATGTATGTATATACATATGTGTATACACACACATATATGTATGTATATACATATGTGTATATATACACATAAATATACATATATGTATATTGTAGACCCCCTACTCAAACTATTTTGAACTCCAACACCTGAGAAAGGCCTAAAACCTGGATTGGCCAATCAGGAGAGACATTTTGGCCCAGTCTGGGATTAATCTACCATAATGCTTTGCATGCTGGGCTCTCTGAGTGAACTAGAAATGCTCCTTCCTGTGTCAGCCGCTACCAGCTGGAGATGACCAGCACTCTTCTTGTTTGTGATCACTAAGGACAGGATACCTGGGACCAGACACTCTCTTGAATGGTGGAACTTTTCTTATCTTGGTATTCTATGGACATAGGTTATGTAAAACACAGATATCCTGGGACTATAATTTCAATTGACACTTTGTTACTTCTCTTGTCTTGTTGTATTTACAACCTATTCAACTAATAAACTTCCTTTCTCATGCTATATGTTAAAAACATATGAAAGCTATATTTTTTGAGTGACACAGACATCCTGAGTCAGGATTGCTCTAAGAATATAAATTATATATTTTAAATTGCTTAAATCAGTCAGAGTTAAAGGTTTGACTCCAAGTACATATTGCTAACTTATGGGAATAAGCAATATAAATTTATTTATCACCTAGCTTGTTGCCTCTTTAACCAAAGTTTCAGGTCAATAATATATATATATATATATATATATACTTGTTTAATTCTATCTTCAACAATTCTTTCCCTTACTATAGCCTTATTTGTACAATTTGAACTTATTTTCACTAGACAATTGATTTCACTAGACACTTCACTAGATTTCACTAGACAATTGATTTCAACACAAGTTTTACTGTGTTTTAATTTACTTATACAATTGATTTTAACTGCAGTAGCATCATTAACTTTCACTTACCTTCAGTTGCTTTCTGATTTCAAAACAAGTATTCCCTTTTCTGGGAGCACTTTGGGAATCACCTTCAGTCTGGAAGCCCTAATCATGACTTCCTTGGTACCCTCTCGTTGGTTGTTTAAGAGCAGTAAACAACAGAAGGGTAAATGAACTCCAATTGACTCACTTTTATTCTTTCTGAAGATGGTCTAAAATTTCCTTATTCTGTCTTCCATAATAAAATTCCTTCCTTCAATAAACTTATCCCAACTTGAAGCACAATTTTTAAGCACACCTTTATCACTAACATGAGAATCAATTTCACAAATTGATACTCCAAAACTTCAGACTTGGAGATTGGCTTGCTGAAACTTCTCCAGGCTTAGAAAATGAGTTTCTTTTTAAATTCTGTGTTGTGGAATTATTTAAGCTCACAAGAGTTGTATTCTAAATTATCATATACTATTCTCTAAGCTTTTCTTATTTTAACACTTCCCTGAATTCCTATTTCATGGAATCTCTCCTGAACACATATCATAATTGATAAAACATTTCCCGAAATTCAAACTACAACTTTAAATCAATCCCTAGTGATTTTAAAGACCCCATTAAGGACTAAGTGATCTGTGAGATTTTTGTTTTTATCAAACTCCACAGAGTTTGCTAGTATCTTTCATCAAAACACTTTATAAAGACATTAAAATTATAATTTAGAAATGAAAGAAATTAATCATTCCTTTTTTAGAAATTTGTTTTCTAATCAGTTTGTGTATCTTGGTTTTCAATTATTTTCAATATCTGTCTTTCAATCTCCAACATGGCCTGTGTTGGAAAGCGAGAGAAAAGAGAGATTTGTCCTCTTTTAAGACCTTCTTGAAAGTTTGCTTTTTTAATAGCCTGTTTTTTTCAGTTGATCAAGTCAAAAAAAAAAAAGGCACAGAAAAACACCTGTGGGCTGTGGTTTAGCACAAAGCACAAATAGGATAGCACAGACAAAACAGACACTTATTTTCCATTGTCTTAGAGATTTTCCTGATTGTATAAGGTCCCTTTCTATTTCAAGGAAAGAACCCACTATTCCTCAACTTAGTTTCATCATTTGCATAACAGACACATATAGAACCTATAACAAGACACAACATTAAATCAGGCCTGAACCTCTAAGTCAGGATCTTCCCTGTCTCCTCTATTAGGCATAGAACTTATGATGATCTTGTGGCTGGGGTCCTGCTGTCAGCCTAAGGTAATTTTTCTGTTTCCTAATTATGTTAATGCTTTTAGAATCTTGTCCATAAAACATGTAATTTAGTAACAATACACAATTGCTTTTTTTGCCAATTGGGTCCACCCATTTAAAGTGTACTTTGTATTTGGACTAATTCCTTAATAGATAGAATTGCTGATTAAAGTTCCATTCCTCTAGACTTTTTGCCAAAGTATAATCACAGGAAGAAAAACGGAGACTGAATAAAATGAAAGCATTTCAGATATTATGAACACAGGGAGATTAGCTCAAAGTGAGTTTCCCTAGTTTTAGGAGATTGCTTGTAGCTTTCTTTTTTTTTTTTTAAATTAATATATTTTTAGTTTTCAACAGTCACTTCCATAAGCTTTTGAGTTTTAAATTTTCTTCCCTTTCCTTCCTGCCTCCCTTCCCAAGACTTCATGCAATCTGATATAGACTCTACATACACATTCCTATTAAACATATTTTCACATTAGTCATGTTGTAATGAAGAATTAGAACCAATGGGAGGAACCATGGGAAAGAAGAAACAAAACAAAACAGAAGAAAAAAAGAGCAAATAGTATGCTTCGATCTGCATTCCAAATCCATAATTCTCTGGATGTGGATAGCATTTTCCATCATGAGACTTTTGGAGACGTTTTAGATTCTTGCATTACTGAGAAGGGCTAAGTCTATCAAAGTTAGTCATTGAACAACATGGCTGTTACTGTGTACAATGTTCTCTTGCTTCTGCTCATTTCACTCAGCATCAGTCCAACTTGTAATTTTCTAAGGTAGATAAACATTCTAGACTTTGGCCAAAGTAATCACCTAAACTCTTTGTATTCTCAACCAAACTTTACACAGCTTAATAGCTCGTTCTCTAGTCATCCCTGAAGAGGGAGTCTACCCTTGTCCCAATGGGGATCTTGTAGGATGCATTTCTCTTCTTATGCCTGACCCCATCTCCCCTGGGGACACTCCTCTGAGGGACTTCTCCAGAGAGAATTGGACTATTTTCTCAAGGTATGTAATAATAAGCCTTTTGGCTTATTCCATCTGAGAAGTTCCCTACCAAAGATGCTGGAGATGGTCCCCCTTGACTTTTTTCCCCCTTGACTTTTTTTTTGGCTAGGCAATGGGGTTAAGTGACTTGCCCAGGGTCCCACAGCTAGTAAGTGTTATGTGTCTGAGGCTGGATTTGAACTCAAGTCCCCCTGAGTTCAAGGCCAGTGCTCTATCCACTGTGCCCCCTAGCTGCCCCTCCCCCTTGACTTTTTAAATGGGCAGTCCCATGACTATTTGAGTTTTGCCCTTATGAGAATTGTTTCCTGCAGCTATAATATTGAGGGATTTGTTTTGGCAATTTCTTCAATACTTCCAGTTCTTAATTTCTAGACTTAACCTTTAGGGGTCCCAAGACTGGTCAACTAGGGCCCAAAGGTTCTTTGTAAGTGTATAAAAATATTAAAAATCAGGTGGTTGGTTTCTGAAAACTCTATGCTGAAGATACCCAGGGACCAATTTTATAAAGTAATTTCAATTGAGACCAAATCTTCAACAGAATTTATGCCAGCTTTCCTTTAAAACTTCCTAAAAACTTCAACTGTGAATGTCAGTAACTGACTTAATCCTGCACAAACAAAGTAACCTTACTCAGTAACTGAAAAGCAGTTTATTCCTTTCCTCATTTCTGTAAAACTAAAATGAGCCTTCTTCTCAGGTCAGAAAAGGGCAGGCTTGCTCCCAGGGTGGTC